TTTTCAAAACTTACGTCGGATCGTGTGTCCAAGATTTCCAGTCTTTGGCCCCGTGGTCCCCCGTAGGGGCACAGAGGGTTGCTTCAGCTGCTTTTCAGGTCTGCGTATTCTAAGCCTGAGGTGGGGCATCCTAAACCTGTAAACGCCCCAGACACAGACTGGAGACGTGGCCATCGAGAGCACCTGGAAGCAGACTATTTCTTGCCACATGACATCCATGATCAGATGCAGGTCAGGTCAGTTAGAGCTGCCTCATGGACACACACATGCATGCACGCTCACTACGGTGCAAATTTGGGGACGCACTGGATCACCAGGAAGGTCATTCGAAGTCAATCAAAAGTGTAGAACCAAAACAGTTCCCTAATGGTCAGAAACCAGAAGGGCCTCCGCAGTCCCTAAGCAATAAACCAATATATTCTGGGGACTGATGATGGACCAAGCATGCCGTTTATAATCCTTCTAAGGGGCTCCTCTCAACAAGCTGCAGATCCAAATCAAGGGATGCCCAGAGGAGTTCAACTGCTCGCATACATGGAACCTGGCAACCTTTATGATGTCACTTAAGCCTCTGTAACACAACCTTCCTCCACTCAGTGTCTTTCAGACGTGTTTGGACCATAATATTCCAGGCAGAGTTTCAAGGGGGGTGAGGGGAAGGGGTCTTTCCCATTCACAGGATCAAGCTATCATGGAGGTGCGTGTATGCGCAGAGACATGCGTGGCACTGTTGCCCGTCAAATATCTTTGCTACGTCTGAAGGAATGCTTCTCATCATGGAAATATACCATGGTGTAGGTAGGAGAGGAACAGGCAGAGCCCGAGGGTGGAGTCAAACAAGCCATCGGCCTAGAACTGTGACGGGGAACCTATGGCACCTGTGCCAGAGATGGCACGCAGAGCCCTCTCAGTGGGCACCCATGCCGTTGCGAGCTGCTCTTCTGTTTTTCGGAGTGCCGGAAAATGGCCGGAAAATGGCCCCAAAACAGCCTGAAAATGACCCGAAAAACAGCCTGAAAATGACCTGAAGAACAGCCTGAAAATGACCCCAAAACCAGCCTGAAAATGACCTGAAGAACAGCCTGAAAATGACCCCAAAACCAGCCTGAAAATGACCCAAAAACCAGTCTGAAAATGACCCAAAAAACAGCCTGAAAATGACCCAAAAAACAGCCTGAAAATGCCCCCAAAACAGCCTGAAAACAGCCTACAAATGACCGCCAAAACAGCCTGAAAATGACCCAAAAAACCACACTGAAAATGACCTGAAAAACAGCCTGAAAATGACCCCAAAACAGCCTGAAAATGACCCAGCACGCACTCATATACGCACTTGCACACAAATTCCGGTTTGGGCATTCGGTGCTGAAAAGTTTCACCATCACTGGTCTAGAATCAAACTCAAATGATCTGAGTTTAACTTCTTGGATTTTGCTGAGCCTCACCAAGTGCCAATTTAGAGTTGACCATTAATTGACTCCATGTTTCTGAAAAGGCATGATGTGTGGTCCCGATCCTTCATGCCTGAGGGCAGGGATGACATTCTCTCGGTTCAGACCAGTTCACCCAAACAGTTAGTGGAAACTGCAGGGTGCCCAGGCCACCTACCCATCCTGGCTCTATGGTTCCCATTTAGGCCCTTTTTTCGCCAAAAACACGGAAGGCTGAGTGTGTGCTGACATTTGTGAACCGGTAGGGAAGGTAAGTGAATACCGACACCGCCTGATGGATGATCTGGGATGGTTTGGAAAGCCCTCCTTTATTCATTAAGATTTGGGCCATTTTTTTAATGATGAAGGACGTTTAAACAATCATAGTTAAATAAAAATGGAGGTATAAGGGTAACATGTATAAATATCTGAGTTAAAATACTATGGCAGAAGATATAAGATTATTTTGTTATTGGAAAGATGCAGCCTGATAGATGGAAGAATATAACTTAAAATTAGTTAAACTTAATGAAACTTAGTAATAATAGATATAACTAAAATAATTGATAACAATAATAATGTATACAATGTGTTGTGTTATGATAAGTAATAATTGGATATGAATATTGAATGATACCCATGAAAGGAAGATTAGAAATCCCTTTAGATTTTATACAAAAGTCAATAAAAAAAGAAGCTAGATATAGTTAAGTTTTGACCATTA